CATAGTCAGTCCCTTTTGATAGTCAACATCAAGGTGAATTCTTAAACTATTGATTATTATGTGATGAGAAGACTATCTCCTCCATTATATTCTAGAATTAGTATTCTATTTACTTACTATTAGATAATTTCTACACTGAGCAAAAAGCCTCAGAAACAAAATTTATCAGACCTGGGTCACAGCAGGAATTGTAGACTTACAAGTAAAAGTACTTGAGTCAGGTCATCCCACTTTGCCTCATTGCCATCACATAACAGGAGATCTTTAAAAATGCCACAGGAGGAGATCTTGAGTGTCTGAAAACTCCACCCACCTGGTGGTTTGTGTTCAGCTCCCCCAGCAGTCCCAGACACTGTGGCACCCAGAACACAGAAGTACTTAGCCGTGTCACTCCAGTGCACAGACTGTTTCCGCAGGTTGAAGGAAGATTCTCTCTTCTTGATTTCAGCCTCAAAACCTTTAATGCCTTGAACCACAGTGTCTCCAGAATAGTACCGGAGGAGAAACTGGAAGCCTTGTCCAGGGTACTGGACATACCAGAAGAGATAAAGAGCTCCACCATAGGAGTAGTTGCATCTCAACTCCAACGAGTCTCCTTCAGAAACAGAGACGTAGGGGTCAGGCTGGGTCACAGACTGGGCTCTGGCATCCCCTGCAAAAGTCAGTAAGTGTTGGAGAAAAGAACGCAAGCTTTGCTATGAAGAGTAAGCATTTCTGGGCAGAATCTACAGAAACAAAACCGTAGAGAAATTTTTTTACTCACTCAAGGCAAAATGTATCCCCAGGACTAGGATGAGCAGCAGGAGCATGGCTGAGCAGGGGAGGTGCTGCAGGGTCTTTTCTGGACGATGTCCCAAGAACAGCACGAGTGGCTGCAGAAGAAAGACCTTGGAAACAGGTGTGGGGAAGGTTCAGCTGAACTAGTTCCTTGCTTGGGTAAAACAAAAGCTGTTACATGAGCCTGAATGTTTTGTGACCTCTGATTGTTGCCATGTGTCTCTACAAAGAACTCAGCCGGTTGATGATCTTCAAGAGAAACCAGGTCTCTCGTATGTGCAGCGTCGCCCCCTGGAGGCCAGGTGCAGAACCAGAGTTCAGTACACAGAGCTCATTAGGGACCTATTTTCTGAGACGTATCAAGACTTTCATATGTTTCTTCCTTCCCAAATCAAGAACCATGCATAAGTCCTAAAGTCCATTAAAAATGGGATGTCATGTAAAAACAAAGTAATAAATTACTTCACATGAAACGGCTTCTTTAAAGTGAGGAGGAGAAAGAAGCCTCTCCTTTCGATGCAAAATTACAGATCAGGCAATAACGTCTTCCAGAAATAAAAGTGAAATAAAGAATAAAGACATTTCAGGTAAAGGACAACTGCCAGCAAACCTCTAGAAGAAATGCTAAAGGCTGTTTCTCAAGTTTGAAGAAAAATGCACGTCAGACACCTTCCCTGCTGTCAGAGGACAACTTGAATCTTCAGAAACAAAGGAAGAACATCAGAAATAGTGAACAGCTGTTAAATAGAAAAATTTATTTTACTTCCTCTTGGTTTATAAAGTATATTCAATTATTTGAAGCAAAAATTATAACTTTGCATAGTGAGTTTCTCAATGTATGTAGATGTAATATACATGAACAACTAAAACCAACTTCAGCGCTGGTAGATAAAGAACCGTATGGTACAAGATTTCTACATTTTACATAAGGATATACAATATTAACTTTTAGTAGACTCTGAATAGTTAAGTATGTATGTTATAATATCCAGAGAAACCACACAAAAAAGTACAAGGAGATATAGGCAATAAGCCAATGATAAATTCAAATGTAATATTAAAAAATATTCAAATGATTTGAAAACAGGCAGGGAAGAGGAGACACTTGAACTAAATGAATAGAAGTTTGTCAAGTGAACAGGGAGGCCGGGTAGTGGAGGCAAGAGGAGAAATAAGTTATCTCCTCTCCAGGTAAGAGATAATTGGGGGCTTCCACTGAGATGGTAGCAACAGTGGTAGTGAGAAATGCATAGGGTCTATCTAGTTAAAAGGCTGAGCCACTAAACTTTTTTTCTTTTACTTTTTTAAGCATACTTTAAGAAGGCTTACAGTAGTCATCTTGTTATAGTTTTATATTTTAATATCTCTGTTGAAATAAAATGCACATGCCACACAATTTTTTTGTTAAATCATAGCTTTGTACTTTTTTTTTTTTTTTTGAGACAGAGCCTCAAGCTGTCCCCCTGGGCAGAGTGCCGTGGCATTACAGCTCACAGCAACCTCCAGCTCCTGGGCTCAAGCGAGTCTCCTGCCTCCGCCTCCCAAGTAGCTGGGACCACAGGCGCCCGCCACAACGCCCGGCTATTTTTTGGTTGCAGCCGTCATTGTTGTTTGGCGGGTCCGGGCTGGGGATTCGAACCCGCCACCTTAGGTGTACGTGGCTGGCGCCTTAGCCGGTTGAGCTATAGGCGTCGAGCCCATAGCTTTGTACTTTAATGCATTTATGGGAATGTATTAACTAAATTATGGTATATGTATACCACAGAACACTATGCTGCCATAAAAAAGATGGAGACTTCACATCTTTTATGTTTACCTGGGTGGGGTTGGAATATATTCTTTTTTTGGGGGGGGCAGTTTTATGGTCAGGGCCAGGTTTGAACCCACCACCTCCAGTATATGGGGCTGGAGCCCTACTCCTTTGAGCCACAGGCACCACCCTGAAACATATTCTTCTTAGTAAAGTATCTCTAGAATGGAAAAAAAAGTATCCAATGTTCTCAACACTATTATGAAATCAGTAAATAATCACCTACACACTCACAGGAATGGCAAAACATAACTCTAGTCCAGAAAGGAGGGAAGAGAAGGGAGAGGAGGGGGGAGCCTGGGAGGAAAGGGGATACTGGGAGGAAAAGGGGTATTTGGGGAAACCTCACCTAACGTGCATAATGCAATGGTACATTTCAAAACTATTAAGAATAGAGTACAAATGTCTTACCACAGCAAATAACTAAGCAAGGAGATGGTTACGTTAATCAGTTAGATGTACAATTTGTCCATTTAAAGCATAGAGTGCAATGCTTGCTCGTATGCTCACAAAGTTGTTCAGCCATTACCAAAATCAATTTTAAAACATTTTATCACTACAAGCCAACCTCCTCACCTCCTAGGCAACTAGAAGTGTAGATTCATTGAAAAATTCATGTCTGTGGATTTCACTATTCTAGCCATTTCATTTTTTTTATTAAATGATAGTTATATACATTAATGCAAACATGGGGTACGGTGTAGTGTTTTCATATACAATTTGAAATACTTTTATCAAGCTGGTTAACATAGACTTCATGTCATTTACTTAGTGATTGTGTCAAAACATTTATACTCTAGTTCTAGAAAAATTCACTTGTACCCTTGTTAGACAAACCATATAGGTAATCTTTCCAGTCACCTTCCCACCACCCAGCTGCCCTTCTCCCTTCCCCTCCCCCACCCCCTCCCCATATTCTTAGGCTAGAATTAAGTTGTAGCTTTCATTTGAGAGCTATAAACTAGTTTCACAAAAGGGCTGTGTACATTGGATACTTTTTCTTCCATTCCTGTGATACTTTGCTAAGAAGAATATTTTCCAGTTCCATCCATGTAAACATGAAGGAGGTAAAGTTTCCATTTTTCTTTAGGGATGCATAGTATTCCATGGTGTACATATACCACAGTTTGTTGATCCATTCATGGATCGATGGGCACTTGGGCTTCTTCCATGACCTGGCAATTATGAATTGGGCTGCAATAAACATTCTGATACAAACATCTTTATTGTAATGTGATTTCATTTTAAAAGAGGCATACAATATGTGATCTTTGGTGGCTGGCTTCTCTCTTTCATTCTCACATATTTTCAAAATTCATCCACTTTGTAACATATATATATCAGCATTTCCTTTCTATTGTGGAATAACATTACATTGTGTGGATATACTACATTTTATTGTTTCCATCCATCAGCTGATGGGTATTTGGGGTGTTTCTACTTTTTAGTTATTATGAATAATACTAATATTAATATTTGTGTACAATTTTTTGTGGGTCTATTTCTTCACTGGCCATAAAATACCTTGAAATAGAATTACTCTTTTTCAAAGCACCTGCACAATTTTGCATTTTCACCTGCAATGCATGAGGTTTTCAATTTATAGACATCCTTGCCAACACTTGATATGTGATCTGTCCTTTGTATGAGCCATCTTAGTGAGACTCAACAGATGACTCATAGTTTTGATTTTTCATTTCCCTAATGGCTAATGATATTGAGCATCTTTTCATGCGTTTATTGGCCACTTGTCCATCTCCAAAGATGGCCACTCTCCATCTTTGGAGAAAGATGTCCTTTGCCCATTTTTAAATTGGGTTATTTATCTTTTTATTATTGAGTTGTAAAAGCTTATTTACAGATTCTTGAAGCTGCCTAATCAAATGCATGATTTCCAAATATTTTATCTCTTTGGGGGTTATCTCTTCACCAGTGATTGTTAATCGGTGTGCAGTGGCACACTGGTATGCTATGAGAGGATCTTAGGTATGCTGCAACATTTTTTTTAATTTTTAATTATTAAAATAATTAATAAAAATTAATTAAATTATTTTCAAAGGAAGTTCAAAGCACAGTCAGTATACTCTTACTCCTTTTTTCAACATAATTTGATTGTGCTGCATTAGCTATAACTGTAGGTTAACTACAGGTTCAAGTGTGCCTTGAAATAGTTTCTCAGGCATGACTGTGGAACAATGGTGACAGGCTGTTTTCACCTTGACCATTAAAGCAGCCTGTTTGAGGGAGGCTTACTTTTTGCTGTTCTGGTGTGTTCTTAGAGTTGGCTTGGATGGCGTTCACACTGAGAGAACCTGGTATGACTGGTAAACAGCAACAGCAGTATATTAGTTCCTGGTCCATAAAGCAGAGTAGATCACAGAGGCAGACACTCAGCAGCCAGGCCCTGTGCTGCTCAGAGTTTGTGCTCAGCTCCCCCTGTAGTTCCTGCCACTGTGTCCTGCAGAGCACAGTAGTACACAGCTGAATCTGACACCTGGACTGAGGCTTTCTTCAGGTGGAAGGAGGTAGTTTCTTTGAGATACTTTGCTTCAAAACCTTTGTTGCTGCCCTCATCATTGGCCTTCACGGCTTTCAGGAGGAGCTGAGGACCTTCACCTGGATATTGCACGTACCAGAAAAGGGCAGGGTACCGTGTGCTTTCATAGGAGCAGTTCACAGTCAGAGAAGCTGCTTCAGAGAGGATTATTTGGCCTTCTGTCTGGGTCACTGAGTCTCCACTGCTTCCTCCTGAAGAAAAAAAATAACAACAGTGCAAGTTACCTTTGGGATGATCTGGACTATGCCTCTTAAATAAAAATCGTGGGTAAGAAGAACACCAACATAACAAATAGAACAAACAACTCTAAGGTTTAAGTGCTATCTTACTTACCAAACATTAAGAATAGTACAATTACTGGTCCTGGGGAAGAGTTCATTTTTAGAGCCTCTGGGGTACTTGGATCTTGACTTCTTAATATGAAGAAAGGTTGAGGTCACAATGAAAGGATAAACTTGAGCTGAGAATTAAAGCAAGAAATGTGCGTGCATTAGGAAAATACACCCCCTTGTGGACAAGATACTGAGAGAAGTGTCATCCTCTCAAAAATCCGTCCTTTGTCTTTACCTCTGGCTTTTTCTCTAAGATGCCTGTTAGCTACCTGATGGCCCTTCGTAATTCTAAACAATAGTTTGCATTTTTCATAATCCTATTTTTTCCCAAACACTGTCTGACATGAAAACTTCATACTATGACATTTCTGAAAATAATTCATTTCACTCTTTCTTAATAAATTTTACCCACCCTGTGATCCACTGACATATAAGCAAGTTTTAGAATAAATTCAGAGGGATGTCAATAACAGTTGCTTGACCATTATTATATGATTTGAGGTGGCAGAGACTTAAAACTTTTTCACTACTCTATACTATCACCTAAAACAATAGGGAAATTGCTACTACTTGAAACACCATTTTAAAAACACTACTTTTAAATTCCTTCACATTTAAAAACAATAATAAGAAATATGATTTAATAAAAGATTTTCAAAGAAAAACAGAAGTTCTATATGACACATATAGTGGTTAAAAAGTAAAAAATATACAACTCTGAGTATTGTGATCAGAAAAAACAAATTCAAATGGGGAGAGGAAAAGGAGGAAAAGGGTAAAGGGGAGGAGGATAGGAGATTAGTAAACTCTCACCTAAGGTGCACAAGGTAAGGTTGTACAGCACATTCCCTGGGTCAAGGCTTCTACTACGAATTGAACTTTACCTAAGAAACTCGAACAGTGTAACCTAATTATTTGTACCCCTGTATTAACCTGAAATTTAAAAAAAAGAAGAAGAAGAAGAAAAATATAGTAGTTAAAGTTAATGAATCTGTATAAAATTACTTGGCATAGCTTTCTTCTCCTGAGGGACTGTAATAATTTCCAGATAATATCATTAGCCTAAATGCATCAGGCAAAGTGTTCTGATACTAAAGTTTTACTGGCAAGTTTGCCTTACCTATATTCTCTACGTGTGTCATCTGCAAACTTTATTGACCAATAGTTATTTTTACCACATTACTCATATTATATGGATTTGCATCATAAGACAAAAGAATAAACTGAATCTCGGTCCTAGGATTGATAGAACTATGTCTGCTGATGTACAGAATCATGTTGTAGCAAGAATGAAACTTCTTTGTATGTAAGAGTTCACTGGTGATCAACTTAAAAATACAGATTTGGCAATCTCTCCACTTACTTATACAATCAAAATCTTACACAAATTTTCAAAAGAATCTTTGGGAACACTAACCTAAGTGGACAGGCAAGATCTCAGTGAATCACTTTTGGAATCAGCTGAAGTGCCTGACAGATGCTTAAAGTATAGGGTGACCAGACGTCCCACTTTTGGCGGGACAGTCCCACTTTTCAACCATTTGTCCCGCATCCTGGGTGTTTTTAAAAAGTCCCCATTTTTGGAAAGAATGCACAAACGGAGGAGAGGGAGGAATGGGTGGAGGGAGGGGGATTGGAGAGATCACTTCTGAGGTTTATCTTACAAGGGTACAAGTGAATCTTTCTAAGAGTAGAATGTGAATGTTTTAAAATAATAACTAAGAAAATGACATGAAGGCTCTGTTAACCAGTTTGATGGAAGTGTTTCAGATTGTGTGTGAAAACCCCACACTGTACCCCAGAA